GAAGGAAAATGATGGAGAGAAACGAGGTGCTGGGTGCAAAAATCTGTGAAGCAAAGTGCATCCCCCAATTCCTTCCAAACTGCTGCGTTCTAATCCAGCAACGAGCACAAACTGAGCACCTACTACATATTCAGCCCTAGGCCTCTTCCCAGAACTCTCATGCTTGTTCGTTCATTCACTGAGCAGATATGTACGGGTCCCAGCTCTCTTCCACACACTATACATCAGTGAATGAAAGAGAAAGGAAAGCTTGCATTGCAAGCTCGTGAAGCTTGCATTGCAGTGGGAGACAGACGAGAATCAAAAAATAAGTTGCAAAAAAAAAAAAAATTGCATAGTGTGTTAGAAGGTATTAAGCGTTGGAAAAAAAATAGAGCAGGCACAGGAGACTCAAGGATGCTAGTTTAGGAGGCTCGCAATCCAGTGGTCAGGACAGGCCCGCTGAGAAGGTGACTTTTTTGGGTAACAGCTTTATTGAGATATAATCCACATAGCACACACCCATTTAACATGCATGCTCTGGAAACTAGTTGTATATAGACTCCTGCACTCAAGGACCTCAATCGATTTTCCAACATTTCATCATTCCAGAAAGAAACCCTGTACCCATGAGCTGTCATTCCCCATACCTGCCTTCCTCCAGCCCTAGGCAACCAATCTGTTTTCTGTCTCTGTAGAGTTGGACATTCTGAACATTTCTTATAAATGGAACCACCCTCTGTGTGGTCGTTTGTGTCTGGCCTCTTTCATAATGTTTTTGAGGTTCATTCGTATTGTAATGTGTATCGACACTTCATTCCTCTTGATGGCTCAAGAACATTCCATTGTATGGACATACCACATTTTGTTTATCCATTCATCTGTTGATGGACGCTGGCGTTGGTTTCACCTTTTGGCGGCTGTGAACAGTGCTGCCATGAGCACTCGTGTCTGAGTTTTTGCATGAAGGAGGTGACTTAAGCTAAGATGCGAAGGACATGAGGAAATTCAGCCGTGCACAAAAACGGCCCTACGGTGTGACCTGTACGGTGTGTTTGAGGAAAAGCGAGGAGGCCTGTGGGAGGCAGAGAATGGAAAGAGATAAGGTCTGAGGGAAATGGGTGGTCAACTCACGTGAGGCATTGCAAGCCACTGTAAAGATTTGGGCTTTTACTTGAGTAACACATTGGAGGGTTTTGAGCCCAAAGGGGGCATGACCTGACTCGGTATGAATCCTCTATTTTACCTGGAAGGGTTCTTGGAGGTGATGAAGAAGAAGAGGAAACACTGGCTAGGATAGGAGATGTGGGGGAGCCCCTCAGAGGCCAGGGACTCTGAATGAGCAGAGGTGGGGCCGCGATGCCTGAGACCCATTAGGCACTGGAGGGTTGACCTTGGGAGAGCAAGAGGCAGACTGAGCAGGATGGACAGGCTTCCATGTTTCCGTCCTCCTCTGACAAACACTGATGGTTCTTATCCAGAGCACTCCCCTGAGAGGCACGTCCCTCCCCTGTCCTGAGGTGGGCAGGTGCTGTCACAGGCCAGGTGCTCCCCATCCCCTGTCATCTGATCTCCCGCCCTCCAACGCCCACCCCCTCAGCTCGCAGTAACTCGGCCTTCCCCCAGTGACTCTACTCAAACCGCTGTTTTGGTTACCAGAGATCTTCTCAATTGCCTAAATGCCCCCTCTGGGGCTACCAAATCTCCTTGTCTACACCGTGGAGAGATTTGCTAGTGATGTTGGCACGTTGCCGGCCACGAGCAGCATCGACCTCAACCGGGAGCAGGTTAGAAATGCAGAATTCCAGGGGCGCTTGGGTGGCGCAGTCGGTTAAGCGTCCGACTTCAGCCAGGTCACGATCTCGCGGTCCGGGAGTTCGAGCCCCGCGTCGGGCTCTGGGCTGATAGCTCAGAGCCTGGAGCCTGTTTCTGATTCTGTGTCTCCCTCTCTCTCTGCCCCTCCCCCGTTCATGCTATGTCTCTCTCTGTCCCAAAAATAAATAAACGTTGAAAAAAATATTAAAAAAAAAAAAAAAAGAAATGCAGAATTCCAGGCCCAGCCCCAGCCCCACGGAATCGGTCGGCACCTTAGCAAGGGGCCCGGCTTTGAGAAGTACTGGTGTGGTTTTTTGTTGTTGTTGTTTGTTTTTTTCCTGTCCATCTTTAGAAGCTTCTTCTTCCACTTTGTCAAAGTAAGGAGTGGGAGCTGCCATCCTGTACATGATTTTACTCCCACGCCTCCGTGACTGGTAAGCAGCAGGCACAATTTGAACCCCAACCCTGGGTTTCCCTTCTCTGGTCTTGGGCTGGTAAGGCCACGTCCCGGTGGCGAAGAAGTCAGGATGGAAGAAAAAAGAGCCCAAACACAGAGGGTAGATGTGGATGCTTATGGCTGATCTATCAGGATTTCTCAGTTGCAATCAGCCTAGGTTTTCTGGCCAAAGAGAACTTATCTGAAGGATACCAGATTTTTACAGAATTGATGGAAGGTCTGAAGAGCCATGCCTGGAAATAGATGGGAAGCTGGGCCACTCCAAGGCCTCAGACGCAGGATAGGCAAGGATGGCCTTGTGGTGGAACAGTTTACTCAGAATGCACGAGAGGTGGGAATCCTACTCTTTGCCTTTTTTGTTTCATTCTCTTCGAGATTCAGGTTCCAGGGAGGGCTTGTAGCTTGGCCCAGCTAGAGGCACAGACCTGCTCGTTAGTTAGGGATGGGCCTGGCGGACTATATATATCATGGAAGAGTAAATGCCCCCAGAGGGAACCCGCGTGCTGGGAGGAAGGAGGCAGACTGGTAGACGCTCACAGAACAACCAAGGTCCCTTCAGTGGTATCACTACCAAGCACTGTTGGATTACGGAGCTCATCTTCCTGTTGTCCTTTCGTCTCTACAACCTCTGCTCTAGCAATTCTCTCCGACACCTCTTGCCAAATTGTCATTTTTGCCTTGAGGTTCCCTACATTGCTGCTGCTAATCAGCCAGATCAAGATAGTCTCAAAACCAGCCAATGGCTGCCCCCTGCCTGCGGAACAAAGTCCAAATTTCTTGGTGCGCGTTAAGCGCGGGCCTTACCTGGCTTCCCATCCTTGCTTTTCATTTTGACTCCTCACCCTCTCCAAATACACCCACATGAGACCCGACAGCATTTCTGGACCCTGCCTTCCCACCCTGGGCCTGCCATCTCACCGTGGCCGTTGCTGGAATTTCATTCCGCCCACCACCTCCCGGCCCATCACCTATGATCTCCGCGTCCTGAAATCCTCCCCGCTGCCAGCACTTCACCTGGTGCTTTCGGTCAGTAGGCTCATCCCAGGCGCCCCAAATCCCTGTGAAACTGAGCCATATATATAGGCCAGGGATCTCAAATAAGAACTCTCTGCCTTGGCCCAGATGGAACTGTCACTATGCATGGCATCCGTGCAGGCCACTTGGCTCATCCTCGGTTCCTACTTCCGGGAAGCCTTCCTTGGTTTCTCCAGTGCTAACTAATCTCGGGCTCTGCTCACTTAGCGGTTGGCACAAGCCTCTGCTATGGTTCTTACTGCATTTGCCTCCTGGGAACCTCTGCCTGATCCATTGCACCCCAAGGTCTTCCCAGGCAAGGCCTCTGTCTTCCAAAACCTTGACACTGATCATCTTATAGAGTAGTCACTCCACTGGTATTTGCATGATGTCCTAGAATCTTTGCTGCAACTCCAGCAAGTTCAATGGCCAGCCAGACCCCAAAGGGCGCTAGCCGTATACTTCACAACCTTCATCTTCCTCGTGCGGGAACCGAGACCCCACCTCAGGGCTGGGGCACCGTGTTTCTCAGCCTGATTCCTCACGATAATATTTAAAGAAGCACATTTTCAGAAAAATAGGGGAAATTCTTCATCACGTGACCTTGCCTGATGCCCTTCTAGAGCATTCCACTTGGAATAAGAATTCATCCCTCCATTTCCTTTTTTTTTCAAAGTGCCTTCATGCATGTCAGATTACAGCCGGCCTTGAAGAAGGTGGAGCAGACCAGGCTTTAACTTCACGTGGAAGATGAAATAATGAAGGTTCGGAGAGGTGCAGTGATTTCCCAAGGCCACACAGCTATTAGTGGCAAAGACAGGACCAGTGCCTAGATCTAACTTTCATCTCTCACCTGTCTGAAATTCCATAGCCCACGATCACTTAGGAATTTCATCTCCTTTGGAACTGTCTTTCATTAGATCCGTACTGGGAGTCCCGGAGTCCAACACTAGCCCTTCAACCTGATGACAGCCAGAGATTAGAGCCAAAGGTGGCTGTCACAGAGGTGACAGTTCTCCTTCCCTGCCCCTCCACCATAGGAAACCAAGCTTGGCAAACCTTGACTTCTCTGTAGTGCCGTTTGGGTTACCAAATCTCTGCACATTCTACTTCTGAGGATCTGAGAGGATGTCTTAGCTCAGGCTGCTACAACAAAATACCATGGCCAAGGCGGCTTATAAACAACAGCCATTAATCTCTCTCAATTCTGGAGGCTGGGAAGTCTAAGATCAAGGTGCTGGCAAATTTGGCTCCTGGTTGAGGCCCCAGTCCTGGCTTGCAGACAACTGGATGCCTTGCTGGGTCCTTACGTGGTAGCAAGAGAAAGCTCTGGTCTGTCTGCTTCTTTGGGCACTAATCCCATGATGGGGTCTCCACCCTCAGGACCTCTTCTCAACCTAATTACCTCCCGAAGGCCACGCCTTCTAATACCACCACATTAAGGCTTAGGGCTTTCGCATATGAATTTGGGTGGTGGAGGACAGATTTGGTCCATAACAGGAGATGTCAGCTCTTGCATCCATAAGCTGCAGAGTGTAGAGCCTGGGTCTCTGTGCCTAAAGGATTTGGTGGAGTAAATGCTGCCATCCAAGGGACAGAAAGTGAAGCCTGAAGTGCTGAGTGCTAATGCTGACGGCAGACATTGAAATAGGAGCACGGTGCCTTTAAGAAGGATGAGGGCACATCTCTGGGGTGGAGCCCGGCCCAGTTACCCAAGCGCTTGGAAGCTGCTAGGACCTGCCCTTGTGGAGACCAGGCCTTGCGGTTCTGATTTGCAGTCCGGGCACCGCTCGGGGCCCCGCTCCCCTGCTTCCCGGCTGCCACACGACTCAGCGTTGGCACCGGTGAGAGCCCTCCCACCCACACACCCACGAGCTCTCTGTGCCGTCTTTCCAAGCCCAGCGCTGACGGCTGTCATTTCCAAACTCTTCTCCAGGCCTTTCTTCTTCCTTTCAAGTTCAGGCCCTTCTCTTCTCTGTTTCAGATCAGCTTCCCCACATTTTCCCTTTCCTGCTGGTGCTGGGGGGAGCAGCTGAAAGTAAGGAAGAAAGCTGGTTTTCCAGGCTGACCTCCCCTGATGAAGATGAGCCACCCCAGGCTGCTGGCTGAGCGCATGCTTTGAAGTGTGTGTGTGTGTGTGTGTGTGTGTGTGTGTGTGTGTGTGCGCGCGCATGCTTTGAAGTGTGTGTGTGTGTGTGTGTGTGTGTCCTGAGCTGGAATCGATGGCTCTCTGGAAAGGAGCAAGGTGTCCAATGCCTGCAGTATTCCGGGTGCACACAGTAAGTGCTCAGCACAGCACCAACTGGCAAGGATTAAGAAACGCAGAGTAAAAGGGGCTCCTGGGGGGCTCAGCTGGTTGAGCATCCAACTCTTGGTTTCAGCTCATGTCACGATCTCACGGTTGTGACCCTGAGCCCCATGTCGGGCTTTGTGCTGAGCGTGGAGCCTTCTTAAAATTCTCTCTTTCTCTCCCTTGTTCTCATGCTCTCACTCTCTGAAAGGAAGACAAGAAAAAAGAAAGAGAAGAAAAGCAGAATAATGGAAGGAGGAGGACTGGCCTGGGGAGTGGAGACACCTGGCTTCTCTCTCCAACTCCACCTGTAGCTTGTTCACAGCCCCTCGGTGTCGCTAAGCAGCCTCACTCTGTAAGAGGCAAACAACCCCATCTCACCTCCTCCAGCTGACACAAGACCAAGTGAGAGGCGTGATGAGACCTGTTCCTCCAAGGACCAGGGGGCAGAATCAAGATGGGTGGAAGTTACAAGGAGGCAGATTTCAGATCACAATCAGGAAGACATTTCCATTTACCAAAGTCCTTTCTACAGATTCCTAATCACCCAGAAAGCCTTCTCCTCTGGGAACTAGTCGAGCAGCAGACTGGTCATCTGGCAGTGATCCTGCACGAGAGGGACTGAACCCTGAGCCATAAGGCCCCTTTGAAATGGGACAGTCTGCATGTTGGTTTATGTGGAAGGGCTTTGGGAAGAATCAATGTGAGGCTGTAAGTATGTCGATTTTTCCGTGCCGTTTCCAGAAGGCTGGCCAAGTCTTGGGATGGGAGTTGGGTACTAAAAGCCAGGGGAGAGCAAACTGGCAGCCTGGGTTCTGACGTCACAGAAATGCCCTGCCGTTTTCAGCGGCACCTTTTGAGTCGAGAGCTTCTGTGTCTGCAAAGCGCATTGATGGAAGGCACAGGCTCTTCCTGCCTAGGGTCCCAGCAGGCTGACTCCAGTGGGAGTCACCTCCCCGCCCTGCAGAGCCCAGGGCTTCCCTGGCTGTGCCCAGAGTCGCACAGGGAGGAGGGCGATGGTGGGGAGGGCCACTCAACGTGGTGTGCCCTCAAACATGAAATCTGACTCTGCAAAGCTGGTAAGAGATCAGTCCGCCCTGCCCTCCTGGTGCTTCTTAGACTGTGATCAAAGGAAACATTTTCTCCTACCTCTTTCAAAGCCTACCCTTCAGCTCCGACACTGAGAACGTGTTCCACTCTGTAGTGGTCCCTTTGGTAGGATTCTGCTCCAATGCGTAAGAATTGACCAAGTGCAGAAGGCCAATTTTGGCGGTGGGCTTCTGCCGCCAGTGCCCCCCTCAGGAGCCCCTGCTCTACTCCCCACCGTCCACACCCTCTGGTGTCTGCCTGCCTGTCTCCCATGTAGGGGAGACCATCTCCTTTGACTTGGGGAGGATAAAATGTTTTTGGTAGGGAAAACCGAAGATGAAGGGGATATCAGACATCCTTTTTTTTTTTTTTTTTTTTTTTTTAAGCTGGTCCTATAGACTGGTGGAGAACCCAGCTTGGGGGCAGGGGTGGGGAGGGAGGGCAGAGCCTTGGGGCTCAAGGAGATGGGTCAGGAAACCTGAACACAAGTGTAACTGCTCTTTGGGACTCGAAAGAAGATGCATGGCTGGGGGGGGGTGTGGTGGGTAGGGTGAAAGGGCCCCAGACCCCTCTGGCGCCCTGAGGTCCAGACAGATTAGGGACATCTGAGCCCCCTCCCCCCCCCCCCACTGATATGCCCACTGGGGATACCGGCAGGGGAGCGGGGCACCACAGAAAAACATTGGGAGACCTTGGGAGGTAGGGGAGGGGAGAGGAAAAGCCCAGGCTGGTTTGAGAAGCAGTTAAGGAAGGAGAGTAACCAGAGTGGAACACAGATTTGGTCTCATTAGGGTTTTGTTGTTGTTGTTGGGGTTTTTTATGTGAGAGTGACAGAAACATGTTTACAGGCTGAGGAGGAACTCACAGAAAGGCAGAAGTTGAGCGATCAGGACAAGGGAGATCATTGATGGATCAAAGATACAGGGAGGGCAGGAAAACAGGAAATGGGAGGGGAAAGGCAGGAGAGAGGTGGGGGCCCAGCGCTGGCCTTTATTCCGCTACGACCTGGAAGGGAAGGTTGCTCACAGCCCCGTCTGCGGCCAGGGTCTTGGAGAAGTGGGAAATGGTCGCTTTGTGAGGCTGAGGGGCCTCTGGGCCCCCCGCCCCGGTGTAAGCCTCAGCTGGGAACAGGGGACACGAGGGGAGATGGCCGGAGAATCACAAGTGGGCCTGGAGAGTGTAGACATTCACCTACCCAGGCGGAGGGGGTGGGGGAGGCTGGTCTGAAGACCCAGGACGCCCTGCCCTGGCTCTGTGCCTAAGGCTGTAACGATAGGACATTGGGCACACAGGAAACTTCGGATTTCCACGGACTGCTTGGTGGAGCCAGTGGAAACTCATTTGCCTGGCTGAGGAGCTGATGAAGGTGGGGAAAGCTGGCTGGAGACTCACCGCTGTTCTTGGGAAAAGCAGAGCCTGTTATCAACGGCACTACCCTCTGCCTGGAAGAGCAGATATTCAAGGCAAAGCAAATTGCCCACGGCCCATCAGATTGTTCCCTGGCGAGGCAGTGGCCAGTGGAAACAATGAGAATTCGGTGTTCAGGAGCCCAGCCTCACTCTGCCTCTGACAGCTGTGGGACTTCGTTGAGGTCATTGCAACCTCTGGCCTCGGTTTCCCCTTCTTCTCGGGGGTATATTTCTGGCCAGCTGGGAGGGAGGGAGGGCAGCTCCACGTCATCTAGTGAGGGAGCAGCTTCAGAGTAGTTAGACCTTTCCAGAAAGTTCAGGAAGAGCGTCAAGAGCGAGGTTCTCCCCTCCTCTCCCCACCCCACTGGAAGCACAGATATCCCAGTCTGTGTCCCCATCACACGCAGCCTCCCGTCTGCCCCTTGTCGCATGCCCCAGCGCTCGCACAAGCTTCTGTTGCTGCTGTCTCCAGCCCGGCTCCCAGGGCCGCTCCGAGCAGGCTGTGCTCGCTGGTGCGGTGGCTGCACCCGGCACAGAACCAGAGCCGCCCCGACTCACTGGCTGCAGGCAGCTTGTTCTCTGCCCCCTACGCTGACTGGGATTGATTTAGCCTGTTTCCGTGGCAGCACCAGCTGCATCTGCTTCCCCAAGAGGCTGAGTGAGTCACGGCCACCCACGCTAACCCTTGGCACAGCACAGCCCCGCCAGGAGCACGGATAGTAAAGTCAGCAAGAAGATGGCAGGGCACTTTGCACCATCTGGTGGCTTCCTGCGCTGGGTCCCAGGTCTGGTGCAGATAGTGCACTGGGAGCAGGGCCCTGGGCGGGGCTCACCCACCCAGAAACCTGGCAGGTCTGCCCATGAGAGAAGTTAGAGCGGCTTCAACTGACTCCAGAGGGGCCCATCTTGGCGGCGGTCAGCAGCTGCAAGGCCTTATGGGAGAGCACTGCAAGTTTTCGGACTCTCAGTCCAGTGCTCTTTCCACTACCCAATGACCCGCTCTCAAACGTGTTTTTCACGGCCACCTCTGCACCCAGATCGGCCCCAGGTTCCTCCTGGCTCCCATCCGGGGGCCTGCCTTGATGACACACATCTGCCCTTCCCTCTGGTCAGCAGCCCTCAGCCGGGACTCAGGCAAATTCTCAGCCCCCACCCCGGATGTACTGCAGCAGAAACTCCGGAGGTGAGGGCTGACAGTCTGTGTTCGCACCGGCCCTCCAGGTGGTGCAGATGCCCGCCGAGTTTGATCACCCCTGGTCTAAGGAATGGGTCTGAAGCGGTGTCTTCCTGACCCCGGGAGGAAGGGAGCGTTTTGGTCCCTATCTCTGTCCTCAGAGCACAGCTGCAAGGGTCTCTCGGTTTTGTGTGAGCCACACTGGAGGGCTTGGGTAGGCGAAGACCCCAATGGCTCCAACTCTGGGGTCCTAGAGTTTTCCTAAATCATGTCCTTCCTCTAGATGGTTTGTGTCCCATGGTGAGAAACTGGTGCTTTTTTTCCTTTGTGCAAAAGGGCAGCACTACCTTCCTCACCGGGCAGAGGGCCTCGTGGGGAGAAGGGAACCCACCCATTGGAAATGAACAACCCTGCCATGGTGGCCAGGCCCAGGACCCGCAGAAGTACTTTCCCGAAGAGCTGAGGGATTCCAGCTGAGGCAAAAGCCCAAAAATACTTACCGATGTGCATTATTTTTTGGTCTATCAGCCGCCCCCCCCCCCTTTTTTTAACGTTTTCTGATCACCTCTGTGCCGGACCCAATAAAGGACCCAGTGGCCTGAACTTCAAAGAGCTTACAGGAGGGTGGGAGCATTAGAATAGTTTAGGCCATGCCCAGGGAGCAAAAACCCCCAAAGTCTCAGTGTCTTAACATAACAAAGGCTTATCCCGCAAATGATTCCTATGAAGGTCTGCTCTGCTCCACAGAATCGCTCAGGGGCTCGGACTTCTGGCTACCTTGGTCACTGCAGCAGGAGGAGACAAAGCTGGAGGGGGCGTCAAGCACCCGCCCAGAAGTGAATCCCGGCACTTCTGGTATCTCACCGAACGGAATTAGTCACGTGGCCCTGCCTAACCTCAAGGAGGTGCATGCAGGAAGCATATGCAGAAAGGAGAGAAAAATGGATAGAGTCTGACATTATGAGACGTAAGTACATGGAGAAAGACCGCTCATTTATTCATTTGCTTACTCTTCAATCAATCTTGACAGACTGTTTACCACACATCAGGCGTCTGGCCAGACCCTGGGGATAGCGTGTCCCCAGGGCAGCTGGTCTCCCGCAATCCAGGGAGTGCCATTAACATTGTATTCTGCAGGAATAGCTCCCCCCCCCCAGTGGTGTGACGCAGGACCCCTGCTTTGATTCTCTTTGTTTATGTTCTGTCACTATTATCTGTCTTCCACACCAGAAAGAAAACTCTGAGAGCAGGGATTTTTATCTGAGTTGCTCGCTGCTCCATTTCTAGAGCTGAACACAGTGCCTAGGGGGGCTTGGTCAGTACTCGTTAAGTGAATGATTCAACATGGATCGTTATCAACTGTTTCCTACCAATCCCTGCCTGCGAGGAGCTTACGATCTGTGTCAAGAGTGGTATAAACAATTGACTAAAGTCTAAAAAGAAGTTTCAGGGCAGATCGAGTGAAACACGTGTCAGGCAAAAGGTGGGCTATATAGCTTGGGGACACAGAGAGGCAAAAGGTCATTTGCAGCACAGGTGAGGTCGGGGAAGCTGGCAGACGAAAAACAAAGGTGCAGGGAGGTCAAGGGGCCCGACAGAGGGTGGGATGCAAAGCGGGTGGGAGGACCCTGCCATACCTCTTGGTCTGGGGTTTTCTCTTCTCCCCACATTAGTAACTGGAATCTTTATGCAGCAGTTTGGTTTTCCAGTAGCCTCCGTGTGGAACCACAGCTTCTCTGGAAGGCTCCAAGCCCCCCAGGCTCAGAACTTGGTTCGCTTTGGGAGTTTCCTGACCATCTGGCAGGAGAGGGGGGATCATCTAGCCCTCCCTGCCCTGCCCTGCTCTGCCTCGAAGCACTTTCCCCCACGCCTGCTGCCCAGACAGCCTCCCAGAGGCAGTAGCCAGCCAGAGGGGCATCTGCGGAGAGGCTGGGAAGGCTCCACCTCAGCAAGGCTGGCCAGAGGATGGTTGAGCCAGAACCTTCCCTGCAGGCGAGAATGGGGTTCATTGTTTTCACTTAAGCTCGCAGTGAAAACAGTGACAGAAGCTTCCCATCTGGCTTCCAAAGCGCTTTTGAAACCATTCTACCTACGGCAAGGCCATTAATTTTGCAGGGGCTCTAAAGACAGGGCACTTCCCGCCATTCAGGCTTTGTCACTCACTCCATCCCCACGGCTGTCTCCCTCCTGCTTCTCTGCCCTTTCCTCTCTCGCCTGCCCTCCTTCCCTCCTGCAAACCTCTCCCTGACCAGCAGGCAAGCATTGCCCGAGGGCCTGCTCTACATCAGGCCCCCGCTTGGTGTTGGAGATTCCTGGAGGAGCAGGACGAAGGCAGAATGTCAGGGGAACTTCCTGTGAAATGGCTGTGGCCCAACCACCACACCTGCCCGTGATACCTGCTTTCACCTGTTCCACCTTCTGCCCGCGCCCTCTCACAAAACACCTGCCTTCCTCGGATTCCCCACGTGCACCACGCAGTGAGCCAAGAGTTCGCGTGCATTCTTTCCTTTCATTTTTCACATCAGGGAGATTCTATTCGCATGGCCATTACCTAGATAGGGAGATTAAGGCTCAAAAGGTTATAGAAACTGTCCAAGGTCCCACAGCTAAGAAATGCCCAGCTGGGGTCCCTCCCAGTTTCTTACTGTGCCGCGCTGTCTCCACCGAAACTCGGCAGTTGACCGTCTGCACTCAGAACAGAGAAATGGCTAGAACTTTAGCACTATCGCTACCACCCCTTCCTTTTGAGAGTTAGCTTAAAAAAAAAAAAAAGTCTAGTGATTTTTTTTTTTCCCCCTAAAGACCAGGGATTAGAGATCAATGTCTCCTCATATCCCTGGCGTTTTAAAACCTGGATGTTTTGACCATTTCTCTACCCCCTAGACAGTAGGAGAAGCCTTTCTGACCCTGCCACTTTAGCTTTCTGGTCCAACACAAGGGCTGTGGCCTCTGCCTCAGGACTCATTCCTGGAGTTCCAGAGACTGCATGGGGCCTGGGCTGTCTTTTCACATCTTGGGGGGGGGGGGGGGGGGCGGCGGTTCGATGGTCTGAGAAGTGACTGGCACTGCTGGTCTACTGGCAGGCTTCACTCGTGTCCTCTTTTCACCCCATCGTCCCCTGGGAAGGGCAGGAAGTGGCAAAGACCCCCGTGGAGGTTTCTGAGGGGTCGCCTCTGGGAAAACGGGAAACCCTGGAGGGCCGACTGCGGGTTGCCGTGTGATTTGTACGTTGCATGTGGTCTTCAAGCATTCTCATAAACTAGCCAAATATCTACAGCTGGGTCCACAGCAAGACTTAGTTATTGTGGTGTTTGAGGCTGTCAAGTCTTGATTTGATTTGGGGGGTCATGTTTCACCACGCTCACCCGCTCCAGCCAGCTCCAAGTCCCTACCCCAGAAGTATGGGGAGAAGAGGAAGTTGGTGGGGGGGGGAGGGGGGGAGTAACGACTCCCCAGGTGGTCTTTTCGTGTCACCCAGCTCTCCCAGACAGTTTTGGTGCTGACTGCCTCCGGGAACACTGACTCTCCCCCTTTTCTTCTCATTTCACTCCTCCATCAGTACTCTGCAAAACCTTCACACTGAGCTTTGTCTCGAAGATAGCCTTCGGAGGGGCGCCTGGGTGGCGCAGTCGGTTAAGCGTCCGACTTCAGCCAGGTCACGATCTCGCGGTCCGGGAGTTCGAGCCCCGCGTCAGGCTCTGGGCTGATGGCTCAGAGCCTGGAGCCTGTTTCCGATTCTGTGTCTCCCTCTCTCTCTGCCCCTCTCCTGTTCATGCTCTGTCTCTCTCTGTCCCAAAAATAAATAAACGTTGAAAAAAAAAATTTAAAAAAAAAAAAATAAAAGATAGAAAGAAGATAGCCTTCGGAGCAGTAATCAGGCCTCCATTAACTACAGCAGGAAGGGGGGCAGCTGTGGAACTAAAGGCATGCATCTGGGGATTCAGGAAGCATTGGGGAACCCACCAGCACCTGGTAAAGCTTGGGACCCGGGCCAGGTACAGGGGAAGGACCCCAGCACCTAAGGAGTCCGGTTCTAGAAAGACTGAGTTACTGAGGCAGGCTACCAAAGTGGGGACTCATGTGGTACAGGGTGAAGAACATTACCCAGCTTTAGCAGTCCAGGCAGGGATTTGTTATCACATCCATGGCTTGTTTTCTAGAGCTGAGGCTTAATAATATCTGAGTCCCAGAAGCAAGAGTAACTCTATGCTAAGTGGCAGGAAATTAAAGTCGAACCATTGACGTCTCTCCAGCTAAAGTCAGGCATACCAGACCCATAATTTTGTCCGCCCATCTCCCCCCATCCCACCCCACCCCCAGGTGGTGAACCCTCTGCCCAGTTACCTTTCCCCCCCGACCCCACCTAAGCATGGCTTCTACAGAATCATCAACTGTTTTGTATAACATAACCTTTCCCCCTTGGCCCCAGTTAACCAGTCCAAGGGGGAACATCTGACCAAAGATAGGCCGACGAGGGCCCTTCCTCGAGATATTTAACTTGGGAAGCATGGTGACTTCAGTAGACCCCATCAATGCCCAGTACATATACCCTCACCTTTACTCTCTGTTCTGACTTCATATGATGAATTTTCTTTAATGGATTCTCTTCTGCAATCCATTGGCCAAAAGATTCTCCGAATGGGTAACGTGCCATTGGTAATCTGATGTGCTCCTTTTTCACTTAGGCCCAAAAGCCAAAGGATCAAGAATTTTGTCGTTTTCTTCATTGGGTTTCACACAGCTTCTTTTGGAGCGGTCAAAAGATTCTTGCTTCATTTTGAAGCCAAAGGGTTCCTTTCAACACTACAGCTCTCTCCCCAGCCTCCAGAATCTTTCCTGAATCCAGAACCGCTGAGTGGCCCTTTTTATATCAGATACTGGGCCAAACCTTCCCTGATTTCAGTTAAACTCCTTAAGCTAGGAATTAGGTGAACATGGAGTAAGCTGTCTTTTTAAAGAAACAGACTGATTCTGACCTAGAGCCATATTTAGCTATTTTTGTGCCGTGCGCTTATTTCATTTAGTAGATTGTAAACTTCTGTTACTGTTTTGTTAGTTTGAGAGAGAGAGTGCGTGCAAGTCGGGGGGTGGGGTAGAATGAGAGAGAATCTTAAGCAGGCTCCATGCTCAGGGAAGATCCCTGGGATCATGACCTGAGCTGAAATCAAGAGTTGGACGCTCAATCGACTGAGCCACCCAGGCATCCCTGTAAACTTTTGGAGAAGTGTTGGATATCTTTGTTTCCCTTGGCTCCTAACACTTGGTCAATATTCAATAAATCTGAGTTCAATACATAAATGAATCATTCAATCACATTCCTTATGTTAAATATAAAATTCATGATTCAAGTATCATTAATCAAATAGATAAACCCATAGGATACATTTTAAAGTGTACTGTTATATATACTAGAGTGGTTTTAAAATAGACTCCAATATTGGGGCGCCCGGATGCTTCAGTCAGTTAAGCGTCTGACTCTTGATCTCAGCTCAGGTCACGGTCTCACAGTTTGTGGGTTTGAGTCCCCGTGAGGCTCTGCACTGAGAGCGTGGAGTCTGCTTGGATTTTCTCTCTCTCTCTCTCTCTCTCTCTCCCCTTCACCCCCCCCCCCCCCCCCCGCTCCTGTGCATGCACTCTTGCTTGAAAATAAATACTGGAAGAAATAAAAATTAAATAGACCCCAATGTTAATAAAATTGAGCAAAACAAATTGGTACTTTTACATATAGCACAGGGGCACAGAAATTCCTACCGCCTTGAAGGTGAGAGGAAATTGGAGGGCCCAGGCGAGAAAAAATATGCTATAAATTTATACCTTTGAGGGGCACCTGGGTCGCTCAGTCGTTTCAGCCGCCGACTCTTGATTTCGGTTCAGGTCGTGATCTCACAGTCATGAGATCGAGCCCCACATCGGGTTCCAAGCTGAGCATGGACATAGAGGCTGCTTAAGATTCTCTCTCTCTCCCTCACCCTCTGCCCCTTCTCTGCTTGTGCTCTCTCATGAATTAATTAACACCTTGATTCTACTTGTAGGCTGGTGACCTGGGTGAGGTGCATACACACGTGTGGATGAACACATAGGATTCTGGGCAGCTCAGTGGAAGCACAGAGGTGGGGAGAGACCCTTTGCTCCTGACTGCCTCTCCACGCCTCAAGTGTTCCCAACTATACCCTGCTTTAGAACAGGTCTGATTGCTAGAGGATACCGTTTTTCTAGCCTGCCCAGCACCTATCCCCCCCCCTCTTCTGGTAACAGCACCCTGATTTTCTGCTGGGGAGCCACTCTTCCTCTACTGTCCATGCTGGTGACCTCATACTCCTGCTCTGGAAGTGGACACATGTCCCTGTCCCGGCCAAACGGTGGGTTCCATCTCCCTGGCCACAGTGTTGACTTAAGAGGAGCCCTACCAGTCAGCTCAGGCTAGGTGGCTGGAATAGAGCAAAGAGGGACTCTTTCCCACAGGCTGAGCCCAGAGATTCGGGGTGAAGTGGGGAGAGGAGGGGCACCGAATGGGGAGTTGGTGCCTGAGAATAAAAGCGACCCGGGGTGGTCAGTTTGAGCCCGGGGCGGCTCAAATTCTGCTCAGTTGAGCGCCCAGGCCGAGAACCTCCCTTATTCTCAAGCCAGATTGAGTGGGTTCTCGGCAGAATTTTTTTTTTTTTCCAACGTTTATTTATTTTTGGGACAGAGAGAGACAGAGCATGAATGGGGGAGGGGCAGAGAGAGAGGGAGACACAGAATCGGAAACAGGCTCCAGGCTCTGAGCCATCAGCCCAGAGCCCGACGCGGGGCTCGAACTCACGGACCGCGAGATCGTGACCTGGCTGAAGTCGGACGCTTAACCGACTGCGCCACCCAGGCGCCCCTTGAGTGGGTTCTTAATGCAACAGAGAATCCCATGGATGAACACAACTGCTGATGGTCCTGGCAATCAGAGCGGGGAACGAAGGGAGAGAGGGCCCTGCCAGAGTCACGTCACTGTGGTGCCAACCTGGACGGGCTCCACTTCCGTGCCTTCCCCAATCTCTCCCCTGACGGCATCTCACACGCAGGCAGTAGTCCTTGAGAGGCTGCCTGCAAATCCCAACAGCCCCGAGGGCCCCTGGCTTCCCTCTCCCCTTCCTGCAAAGGCACCAGTGTAGCCGGCGGGGAAGGGGTGGGTTTCCTGTGAGGGCACTTAAATGGCGTTCAGAGCCATTTTTAGACTTTTTATTCTATAGACCAGAAAATTGCTGAAATTAGGAGACATTTGAAGAGGCTGTTCATCAAGCCCAGAAGCGATTTCTGCTGCCGCTATATTTAAAAGCCCAGCAGCAGGTTGTTTGGGCTTATGTCTTGCTGTTATGTAATAAACATAATGTTAAGCTTTGGAAGCCCCGCACGATGGTTGTGAAGAAGGAAAACAGCCTCACAGCAATGCGTGCCCTGGAAATGCTTTGTAGAGGCTGGGGAGAAGGCAATAGAGCTTTCCGTGTTAAATAGTGTTAAAAATAACAGCGTGTGCACCGCAGATCTTAAGTACTATGTAAATTCCCAAAGGAAACAGTAGAAAAGAAAAGAAAATGGAAAGGAAGTGGTGTATTAATGTAAGGGGGAAATGTAATCAACAACCAAATAGCTGTTTTTAACAGGACAAAGGAACTCAGGTGTGGGCTGATCTGTTGGAGGAAAGGAGATTGTATTCGTTTTCTCTGCTGTGTAACAAATGACGATTGGCCTCGTGGGCTTGAGACAGTGCAGCTTTATTATCACACAGGTCCGTAGGCCAGACCTCCAGCCATGGAGTGGCCGTGTTCTCTACTCAGGGTCTCGGGAGGCTGAAATCAAGATGTCGGCGGAGGAGCCACATCTGAAGCATGGAGTCCTCTTCGGAGCTCATGTGGCTCTGGACAGAATTTAGGTGCCTTTGGTTGTAGGACTGAGGCTCCCATTTTCCTGTTGGTTGTCACTGGGCACTGCCCTCAGCTCCCAGAAGCCTCCCACATCTCCTCACCATGTGGCCCCTTCTACAGGCTCTCTCACAATATCAGCTGTTAGCTACTTCAAGGCCCCAGCAAAACCACTCTCATGCTTCCAGTCTCTCTGACTTCTTCCATCTCTGACCTCTACACTGTCTTTTAAGGGGCTCACCTGATTAGGTCAGGCCCACCCATCTCCAGGAAGGAGCTACCCAGGATGTACACCCTGCGGGGGCAGGAATCTGGGGGGCTATCATAGAATTCTACCTCAGTGATCAAACTTTTGCACAAAAGCAGAGCCACAAAACATGTAATCTTAATACACTTCTGTTATGGACTGAAAGTTTATGTCCCACCAACATGTAGTTTTGTGCCCCCATTGTGATGGTATTTGGAACAGGGGGCTCTCAGGAGGTGATTAGGTCTAGACAAGGTCATGAGGGTGAGGCCCCCACAGTGGGAATGGCATCCTTATGAGAAGAGGTGGAGAGGCCAGAGTTCTCTCCTTCCACCATGCAAAGACAGGGAGAAGACAGTCATCTTCAAGCCAGGAAGAGAGCTCTCACAAGGAACTGAATTAGCCAGCACCTTGATCTTGGACTTCCAACCTCCAGAATCGTGAGACATAGATGTCAGTCTGTGGTATTTTGTTATAGCAGTCTGAATTTGACTAAGACAACTACAATACTGAAGGTCCCATTAATTTACCTCAATAGGAGCCTTCTAGAAAACAAGTTCTTCAGAGGCTGTGGAAACATCCAATATCTGGGGCTTTCCAATGAATGCGTCCTTCCCTGTACACCTCATGTGTTTATTCATTCAACACGTGAGCTCCTATTCTCTTGACATTGTGCTTGACCCCAGGACCGGGCTTCTTCCCTCCCACCCACAGCATAGGGCTGAACCACTCACTAAAATCTGATTTGCCATCTTGTAGGTTGTTTAGAATTCCTCTCATCTGGCTCTATTCCGGGCTCTGGTGGGGGGCGGGGCTTGACTCAAAGGAGGATTGAACCCAGCGATCTCAGCCCTAGAACAGAGCCCAGGAAAGGAGACCACCCCCAAGACTTCTTGCTCAGGGTCTTTCAGTCTCTTTTAGGCTCTTGTGATGAACCTTTCTCCACTCACTGTTCTCCACTTCCCTGCCGAGCGAGAAAACGAGCCCCATGTGAAAGCAGTTTTGGGACTGGGAGTCCCGCCATATCCTTGTTCAGGTTAAATTCACTTAAGTAACTGAGAACAGACAGAGTTAGATTTCCTAGGGCATTTCTTTATGCTGAGTGCTTAACCAGGAAGAATGTTAAACAGGCTACTGAGCTGAGGGCAAATAGGTGTGACCAGTTCCCCAACCTCAGTCACAGAAGGGACTTGAGGGATTGGCCCTTGGGGGTCCCATGTGTCTCCACAACCTAGATCTGCATCTTCTAGAATTCTTTGCACAATAGCAGACCTATTGTGAAGACTTCCCTGATCCCCACCCTCATGCCCCAAGCCAGTAAGATGTTTACTTCCAGCACCAGAAGAAGGAGGGGTGTGGCAGAAATGGGAGACATGCTAACCATAACTAACCTAAGTCAGATTGCCGGGCTGGCCACTAACCAGAGCTCTGCCTTGCCCTCTGGGGACAACATAAACACAAGGCTGGATCTCCACACAGTAGTCTGAAGGGTTAGAGCTCTGACTCAAAGTTAGCCATGCCCCCTCTGATGCTATTTTCTATTCCTCCCTTTGCAGAAGAGGTGCCTTGGTATAGACAACAAAAAGACCTCTCTACCACCTGTCAGAACTGAAGGGGGTAGCTTAATTTCTCTCAACTTCCATTTCCTCATCTGAAAACATAGGGGTAATTATACCTGGCTTACAGGATCGTTTTTGAGAACTAGAAATTATATACCTGGCATTGTGCTTGGAAAACTACCACCCCTTTAAGAAAGGGTTACTCCTGCTGTTACTGTTATCTCTGGCTCTGGGTATATAGTTTTTATGGCTCTGCCTCCTCACCTAGGCTGCGAGTTTGAGATCAAAGATGACATCTTTACTGCTGCTGACAATTATAGTACCTGACAAAGAGGAGGTGCTCAGTCGGGGAATAAGTGTCGAGACTCTGGAATTTGAGCAAGGGGCAGCAGCCACTAGGAGCTAAGAGTCTCCTGCAGACAATAGGTCTGCAATTTTACTCTATTTTCTGGGTCAACGGTTCTCAAATTCTTTGTATTCAGGACACAGCCAAAGAAACAGACATATTCAGACACTTGTGAGTCAGCAATAATTGTAACTCTCTCTTTACTACTGAAGAACAATGTCTCTCAATATCTGTGAAAGCGATCGTGTGGTCCCACCATTTATTGGGATGCCTCTGATTGACCCTGTGGTTGGGTAGCTTACTTCCCTGACCTCCCTCACTAATGTGCACAAGAATTCTCACATGGTCAATTAACCACCATATTTCTTGGTCACTGGCTTGACAACACAACTTCCACTTTTTCACAGCACTGTAGGTGGTAGCTATGGTGGAATGGCCTGCCAGTCTCAGGCAGGCACTTCGCCATTGTCCTTGGAATTTTGGGGATTGAACTTTACAATTTTTATTTGTCAACAATCCTGAAGGTCCTTGACATGTAACCATTTGTAAATCATTTCGCTAAGATGCCAATTTTTAAAAATTAGTTTATTATACAACTAACACATGAGTATATAAATACATATATACACTGCAGAATGCTCTTACAATAGAGAAATACACAGAGGAAAAACCTGTAGATGTCTTCCTCTTTTTGTATCAGTCAGAAGAAGTCATGTTATACTACAGTAACAAACACTCCCAAATCTCAGTGGTCTTGTAGCCACAAATGTTTATTTCTTGTTCACATTACGCATTTTTTATGAATCTGCTACAGCTGTGTCTCTTGCCCTCCTCACTCCAGAACCAAAGCTGATGGAAAAACCTAACTCTGTCTGGAGCATTGTCAATCTCATGCCAGAAAGAAAAAGACAAGGCCAATGGTGCCCTGACTTCCAGAACTCTGTACAAAAGTGACCAATGTCACTTCTTTGACTAAAGCAAGTCGTATGGCCATTCCAGAGGTCATCAGCATGGGGATAACCTTACAGAGAGGAGCATGACAAAGGAAGAAACTGGAACTTTTGGTGAATGAGAACCTGTCTCCACCACCTCTTCCTAGGATGACTTCTTTCCCAGAGGTAACTGCTCTCAACTGTTCAATCCCTTTTCTTACGTATTTCAATTTCTATTTATTTATACTTATATAGAGAGAGGCAGACACATTAACATGGAATAGTACCCATATTTCTCTGAAACTTTCTCTGTTCACTTAATATGTCTCAGATACCTTTCCACTTCTGCACCTAAAATCTACCCCACTCTTTCTAACAACTGTATGGCATTTCATGCCATAGTATCTTTACATTCTTGGTGTACTTTTGGATATTTTCAAAATTGTTTGCTATTATAAAGCCGCGATAATTATCCTTATACATGCACATATATTTGTGCACACGTGTGTTTCTGAATAACAGGTTTCTAGAACTAAATTGTTAAAATAGAGCGTGTGTGCGTTACAACTTTAGTATTGCCAGTTTGCCTTGAAAAATGCCTTCATCAACACACACAGCCGTCAGCAATGTAAAAGTTCCTGATTTTCTGAATCCTCAACGACTCAATATTATCAAACTTTTTGTTGATCTGATGAATTGTAAAAGTGGTAGTTCCTTATTTTCCAGTATTTAATGCATTTCTCTCTTTATCGATGAGGTTGGGTATTGCTTGCATTTACCATCTGATTTCACATTTTTTCTGTTGTGAATTATCTGTTTCCATTCTTTGCCTGTTCTCTAGTGGTTGTTTTTTCCTTCACATTTGAAAGAGCTATTTGATATATTTTCTCAATAGTAATCCTTTGTCTGTACCACTGGTTGTAAATACAAACATCTCTTATTTACCATCAGGAACTTTCTTTTTTTTTTTTTTAATATTTATTTATTTTTGAGACAGGGAGAGACAGAGCATGAATGGGGGAGGGTCAGAGAGAGAGGGAGACACAGAATCCGAAACAGGCTCCAGGCTCTGAGCTGTCAGCACAGAGCCTGACGCAGGGCTCGAACTCACAGACCGCGAGATCATGACCTGAGCCGAAGTCGGATGCTTAACCGACTGAGCCACCCAGGTGCCCCCATCAGGAACTTTCTTTAAAAACCAGACACTGATGTTAAATGGTAAATGTTAAATGTAAAATGTAAAAGCAGGCCCTCTCCTATCAATTCAACACTACTAACCAGTTTCCTACAACACAGAAAAATGTCAATATGTGTAATATATCAGCATGTCAGTTGCACGAAACGAAACATTGCTTCCTGATGACCAAATGGTGAATATGACTTTTAAGGGATATTTACATGTGTATAGTCACATGGCCTGAGTATCGTTGATAGCTGACTCAATCCCTTTGTTGACATTGGGCACTTTCCACAATATTTGCATGTGATTCTGACATTCTTTCCGAATGGAAAGTTACTAGAGAACTCCCCCCTTCCAACACCGCTTTGTTTAAAATGTTATATTGAGGGCACCTAGATGGCTCAGTTGGCTAAGCATCTGACTCTTGATTTCAGCTCAGGTCACGATCTCACTGTCGTGAATTGAGCCCCATGTAGGGCTCCAAGCTGAGCATGGAGACTGCTTAAGATTCTCTCTCCTTCTCTCTCTACCCCTCCCCTCTTGTGCACATGCGCTCTCTCTCTCTCTCTCTCTCTCTCTCTCTCTCAAAACTTAAGTTCAAATTTTAAAATGTTCTATTGAATTTAGGGGATGTACAAATAAAACTTTCTGTATAAACCTTGCTCCAAAGCACGATGTATTGGAGAGCAACATTATGCTCTGTGAAGTCTGAGTGTCACAGCTAGGGGGGGTTCTTCTGAGGAAAACTTTCCTGGGAGATTCTTCTCATAACTAGAAGTTGACCACCCTCTACCCATTTCTTTCCCTGTCCCTAGCAACCACCATTCTACTGTCTGTTTCTGTGAGTTCAGCTTTTTAGATTCCACATACAAGTGAGATCATATAGTGTTGGTCTTTCTATGTCTGGCCTGTTTCACTTAGTGTAACGCCCTTAAGGTCTATCATGGTGTCACAAATGGCAGGATTTCCTTCTTTTTATGACTGAATAATATTCCAGTGTGTGTGTATACCACATCTTCTCTATTCATTCATCTGTCTATGGACATTTAGGTTGATTCCATGGCTTGACTATTATCAATAATGCTGCAGTAAACACAGGGGTGCATATATCTTTTCAAACTAGTGTTTTCATAGTCTTTGCATAAATACCCAGTAGTGGAATTACTGAGTCCTATGGTAGTTCTATTTTTAATTTTTTTGGGAACCTCCATACTGTTTTCCACAGCGGCTGCACCATTGTTTATAATTTTGTTCACGGCCTCTTTTGTCGTTGCGCGATTTGCCATTCTCCTGTCCTCAAATTTGTCATTATTTTGTTTAAGGTTGCTGGGTTTGGAGTCTTGCTTTAAGTGACTTTCCTTATCTCCCAGTGTTATTTTTTTAAGTCACCTGCGTATACATATATTTTAAGATTGTTAATTTTGTTTTACGCCTGGCTCTTTAGTCACAAGGAATTAATTATTGGGGAAGTGAAGGAGGTCCACCTTTCCTCTGTCCCCAAAGCAGGCAGCATATCGGCCCAACACCTTTCTCCCACTGGTTTGAAATACACCATACATTAAATTCTCAGCATTTAAGAAAGTGTATTCTGTATCTTCAGGCACCAAATTTTACAATGCAGCCTGTGTGTAGGAGTGCAAATGTTGGGGAGCATTTACTCTACTAATCTACTCTACTACTAATCACCAGCATCTGTGCATCAACACAGGCATTCTCCGCTCATCGTACTCACTGTCACACAGGTAAAAACTTTTTTATGTGACAAACTATTCTGAGAGCAAGACAACTGCTAATGATGCATGGCAAGGGATCTAAGTGAAATACCATTGCAAATAACGAGTCCTGTCCTAATAAGATCACGGAAGTTGCTAAGGGGTCATTTTCAGAATGCATTTTACTTAGGACCTTTATTGATATGATACTGTTGAAGAATTCAAGGATTTAATAGCTCTGGGCTGAGTCCCTGGAAACATTCAGGTTCTACTGTTTTGGGAGCTTCCTGGGTCCCGGAGATTCTCCTGCAGCTGTTACCACCTCAGGGCTGGTCGGGGTTGAGACTTCTCCAGGTGTTTCCATCCCACATGCTTTGTGACGGGGAAGGCTGCCCTCTCTTGCCTTCATCGCTTTCTGTCCCCATCAGTCGCTCCTCATCCCAGGGCAGTCTGAGTGCCCCTTCTCCACGCCTCCAAAATACCTCCTACAAATCTAGTCTAAGAAGTTTGAAGACGCGGAGTCGGGGTAGAGGAGCACAGGAGAGTTCAGATGATGGCTGACATTATGGCCGCTGCCTTTGAGCCCACTGTGTCCAGGGGGATGGACTTAAAACACGTAACTAGCAGACGAGTTGACAGTTGCTCAAAGAGAGGGATGAACGGAGTAGAGTAGGAAAAGGGAGTGATCCAGAAGTGTGTTTCCTCTCCTCTTCTCCTCCCCTCTCCTCTCCTCTCCTCTCCTCTCCTCTCCTCTCTCTCTCTCTCTCCGTCTCTCTCTCCCTCCCTCTCTCTCTCTCTCGCTTGCTCTCTCTCTCTCTCACACACACACACACACACACACACACACACACACACACAGAGTGAAGATTAGATGACAATTTAGAACAAGAGGGGCCGTCTGGGCTGAGAAGACCATCTGAAAGCTGCGTCAAGAATTTTGAGAAAGCCGTGGCCAGTTGGTGGTGGCCAATCCGGGCCAGGCACCTCCTGGCCATGGGCTGCCCTCCAGCCAGCCCATAGGTACCCTTCTCATTCCTTCAGAGGGTTTCACCCCCAGAGACCAAGCCCTTGTGCCCCAGCCAGGGCCACTCAAACGTCCTGCTCAGCCACACCAAGCTACTTGAAGCCGCATCCCTGAACCCTGAAGGGTTCCCACCCTTCCAGGCCAAGGGGAGACCTCTCTGCTGTCCCCAGCTTTATCTTTAAAACTGAAGCCAGGTTTGTGTTGCTGATCATGTATCTGTGCTTGTTTTGATGTAAACATTATGTTTTCAATTTCATGCCTAACCCACCCTCCCCCCTCTCACGAGGTCCCAGTGTAAAATCCAGTACTGCTCTGTGCTTCCTGGTACTCATTACAAGTGTAATTAATTCGTGTTTGCCCAGTCATTTAGCTGCTGTCCTTCCCACAGGACCGTCAGCTCCTACAGGGCAGCTGCTGTGTCTTTCTTGCTCACCACATTCTCACTGGCTCACCAGTGACTGTTGAGGGTGTGACTTTTAGCCTCCGGGGTTATAAGAGCCTTCTTATAATAAGGCTGACATGGAAATTCCAGTCTCATGCAGATCAAGTGTCCCTGCGTCCTTTTACAAGCAGAAATATCTGGACAGGTGGCTCACGAAGAGGTCATGGTTCCCCAAGGGACCAGGTGAGAGGTGCTATCACTGCTCAGGGCCCTGTCAATACTCTTGGCGCTCCCCATTGACCGTGAGACTATGATGTCACCTGCAAATACATACAAAAGGTGCCTATCCTGTAAAGCTCTCTAAGGAGAATTACTTTAAGCTCGTTCTTGCTGTATTAAGTACATAACATCATAACTCACAGTTTCCCAGATTCAGTTCAAGGGCAGAGATGATTTGGTAGTTATTTGATTTATAGAAGTTTTCTCAAGTTGGAGAAGAAATTGAAGCATGTTTTGCTGAGGGTAGGAAAACAACTCCATTTGGAAGAGGAGCTAATATCTCAAAAAAGTAATTGTAAATTATATCAATTGCGCTCACCTTTGGGTCTAATTTTCCCATTTCCTACACGGTTTTGGTGGCAAGCCTTATCCTTACCATTCTTGATATTCACAGAGCACTATTCAGAAGATTTATTGGTTAAAAAATGCAAATTCCTTAAAACAACCAAGTGCTGTCTCTGAGTTCCATGCAAAGATGTGGTTAGACAAACTAGTCAGAATTTGAAGACAATGCTAGAGAAAAATAGTAAGAAATCAGAATTGTGGAATAATTACCAAAATTGCTTGCATTTACTGAACGGCTGTTATATAGCAGGTACTGGGCTGAGTTCTTTATATGGATTAGCTTGTTTAATGGCAACCATTTGAGGTAGGGAGAATGATTATTCCCGTTTCCTAGATGAGAAAACTTATATGTGGAAAATGTATAACTTTCCCGAGATCTTGCCTAGTGGAAAACAAAGTCTGAGCTTTGAGGCTGGTTTACATCATTTTCTGGTCCAGGCTCTTCCCACTGGTCATGAATAAGCAATCAACATTGGTGTTTGAGAAAGGAAGAAACTTCCATCACGCCAAGTACAAGTGCTAGTGAGCTTGTATTATTCAACCCAGGGCCTAACAGATTTGTTTCAATGAACAAATACATAAAGATCCTTTGTAAGTGGCTCATTTATTGACTCTTAGGTGACTGAAAAATCTGTTGTTCCCTGAAAACGTTAAGCATTGTCTCTCCCATCCAAACCCATCACAATCTAACAAATAACATTTTCGTGAGTTTGGTCCGTTTCAAAATTCCAGCAAGACACAAATTTCTGTTTGGCCAGCCATCAAACAGAAAGTCCTGACTAGTGCTCTTTTGAACAGTGTGTTGACACCCACAGTCTCTGTTTAACTTCTTTCTCCGATAGCAGCAGCCCTGGGGTTTCCTTTGGTCACTGGAGTTGGTTGGAGTTCATAGATGTTGCATGCTGCGTTTATGGAGGACTCACTGCAGGCCCGTTTTGGGATGGTATGACCCTTGCCCTATAGCCATTGGTCTTCCTGTCCAACCTGGTCCACAACCATCCTCCACTTTGGAAAGCATTTTCAATTCCATTCTGTTCAATGCAACTGGGGTAGGTTGAACAGACACTATCGGCCCAGTGTTGTGCTTCTCCAAGTCAGGGGCAGGGGACTCTAGGTAAAATATCAATGATAGCTGGTATTTATTGACTGCTTCTGTCAAGCATGACTTCATTTTATCCCTCACAGTCACCTTCCTGGTCCCATCTTTCAGAGTGGTAGAGCCCCAGGTCACTGAGGAGGTAGGTTGATTGTAGATCTGACATCACAGTCTGAGCTTTTAACCTCGACTCTTTGGTACCATTTCTGTGAGTGCCAGGAAGGCTGAAGACAAGGGCTGGAGGAAGAATCAAGGAAGGAGTGGATATCGAGCTGGATTTAAGGATTGCATTGGAAAGACAAGGATCGCACTGGGAAAGAGGCAGGGCAGAAAAGCAGAGAGGCTCTCTTGCTTCTGTTCTCACCATAGAGCAGTGGAGAAGGTGAATTAGACTATTTTGTGGTTGGCATAACCAATTAAGTTTAAATTCAACACCTGTCTTGCCGTTTGAACTTAATCTTATTATACCAGATCTCTTTGCATTTCTTTTGTTTGTGCAGATTTTACACACAGGGGTTTTAAGTCAATCAAAGAGCATCTGTGCTGAAAGGAATTATTTTTGTGTGTGTTAAAATAATTGGCCCAGTTCTTCTCTCAACTAATAAGTAAAACCTCTCTAATTCCTGTCTTAGAGGGAAGGTAATACAGTATAGGGAAAAAAGCATTCACCTAACTACACCTTTTATTTCTAGAACATGGTATGATGTCCAAGAAAATGAATTTACAGTCTGGAGAAAGAGCTGAGATCAGCATATCTATCCTGAACTTAGCATAGACACCGTGTCCTTGACAGCCATGCTTAATTTGCATGATAAGTGAGCAAGGTATGCTAATAACAGAGAGGGAACATACTGAGAAACAAATTTGAACTTAAGTATCCTGCACATGACATCAGAATATACCACTGCCCTCTTCTTCTGCTTTGTACCATACCACCATAAAAGTGCCTCAGATAAAATATTCTTTCTGAAATATCTGGACTTTGTTTCCAAGTCATTTAATTTTCCCCTGGGTGTTGACTCTGTGTCCTTGTTTTCAAATCATCTATCACTTTCACAGTTTCAATCTTCCTGTCTTTTTTGCAGAAAGTAATTTTTCCAAAGACCTATTTCAATGCATATAAGGGAGAAATTACCTGACTTTTATTTAGTGTCTCCAAAAGAGCTTAATTCTGTTTCAGAGAACACCAGAGTCAGGTGACTTCCTTCTCTATATCTGGGCAATCCAAATCTGTCCTTTTATGGAAATAAGCACCATCGGTGGCAGCCGCGTGGTATGTATGGGACCAGGCCTACCTTCAGCTCCAGCAGATAGCCCTGATTGGTCTAGACCCAAGGCAATCCAATTGTGGTGGCCACAGAATTTGATGTTGGGATGAGCCAATCAGCACGAAGTTCACTGTGGGAGACAACCTCTCCTGTTTCATGGGAGTAAGGCAGGATGGGGACCTCACTGCAGCCAGGCCTCCTGCAATCACCAGGGAGTTAGCCCTAGAAGGCAACCAACAGTAGGTGTGAATGAGAGGGACGGGAAAAAGAAACTGAGTCCTCATGCCATTGTAGCAATCAGTGACATTCACTGTACCTCTGGACTCCCAGTTAGCCAATAAATCCCTCCTTGTTTATGAGTTTTAATTCAGTTTTCTGTTACTTGCAGCCAAAAGCATTTTATCTGATACACCCAATGACTAGGCAGTTGAACTGAAACATAATTCCACTTCTCAGAATGCAACCTATCCATTCCAACTAACAATAGCAATAGCATATTGGGTAATTAAGTTGCATCCGTTGATGGTATATGAACTAGGACAGTTTATGGTACAAACCGTGGCCTCTCAGAAATGGTACAAACCTTTTCCTCTCTCCTTTGGCTAAAACCCAGTCATGTGGCCACATCTAACTGCAAAGGAGCCCAGGAAGAAAAAGTGGATTTTTGGTAATTGATTTGTAGTCTTGCCCAGGAAGAATATTCTAGAAGATTATTACATTACATGGGGAAAAAGCTCAAGAACAGTGTGCATAATATCAGCCCAAGTTTCCAAATGCCAATATCTGTGAGGGCAGAAGCCACGGCTTTTTCTGTGTCCACATTTGTTCTTTGTTCCTCTGCAGCCATGTTCTACTTCTGGCGCATTCATGGTGACCCCA